TGTCCTCACAACTTTTTTGGAGTCTTTTTTTCTGACGTTAATAGCAACATGCTGTAGAAAGATTGAAGACTTTGAAATCCAGCCTAAGTTTGAAATTAAACTTATTACTTGTTAGCTATGTGGTCTTAGAAAGTCAGTTAACCTCTCAGCTTCAGTTTCCTTACCTATAAAAAATAGTTGTAAGTTGTGTGAAGATATATAAGCCACTAAGGGTACAGTTTAGAAAGATGAACAATGGTTGGAGATAGATAGTTGCACAACAGTATAAATTTGCTTAAAGTAAATGCACTGAACTGTGTCCCTAAAAATGCATGAAGTGGTAAATTTAATGTTATAAACCACAACTTTTAAAATTTTTGTTTACTGGGCTGGGGATTTAGCTCAGTGGTTCCACCACCTGCCTCAAAAGTGCAAGGTCCCGAGTTCGATCCCTGGTGCACACACAAAAATTTTTTTTTAATTTACTTAATTTTTGTGTTATGAATTGAATTTAGAGCTTGGCACATACTAAGTGTGCACTCTGTCACTGTGCTACATATGCCTCTGGCCCTTTTACCACAATTTTTTAAAAACCCACATAGTGCCACCTGCCTCGCAAGTGAAAGGTCCTGAGTTCATTTCCCTGTACCAAAAAAAAAAAAACCCACATGGCATGTAGTAGACACTTATATATGTTAATTTTTCTCTTACCTTTAGAAATTAGAGTTTCTTTTAATTTTCAAAATATATCAGGCCTGGTGTAGTGGTGTGCACCTGTAGGCCTAGCTACTTGGGAGGCAGAGGCAGAATTGATTGAGTTCAGGAGTTCAAGGCCAGCCTAGGCAACATAGTGTGAGATCCTATCTCAAAAAGAGAGAATCGAGTTGTGTAGCTAGGGATTTCTCATTAAACTATCTAAAATTGTGTTCATTACAATAACGTTTACATTTTGATTACCCCTTGGATTAGCCATACTCAGATCTTGTTCTTATTTCTGCTTCCAAGATCTTGAAATAACTTCCCATTTGTGACCACAACCTCCATCTCATCTGCAATTATCAGTCTGTTTTTAACCTAATTTTGGCCTCCTGTGTCCCCCCAACTTTTTTCTTCTGGGTTAGCAGACCCTTATTATATTTGTTTTCTTGAGTTCTGTCAGCTGTTAGAGTGTTGTCCTCTTAAGACAATCCTAGGAGATTTCTCCTTTAACCTCTTTCCCTGCCCAGCTTCCCAAGTGCTAGTCATCTTTTTTTACTTTTCTATGTTTAGATTATTAAACATTATTGCAGGGAGTTCTCAAGTAAGACCATTAATACTTTAAGCTATCTCATTTAATGCAGTCCTCACAGCATCCCTAAGGAAATATTATATTACTCATTTTAAAGATGGTGGAACTGAGACTCAGAAAGGTGTAGTCGATAGGAAAGGACTCTAGGTTTACATAGAGAGATTAGGGGTTAAACCCACTAGGTTTGTCTGGCACCAAAGCCTATACTCCATATTCTTTGGGCCTTGTTCACAATTGTTTGCTCACATTTTCTCTCCTTAATCTCTTTTTGGCTATCTGATACATTCAGATCTTTTCTGCTCTTCTTAAACCTTGAACCCAATCTATAGTAAATAATTTAAGCTACTAATTTATTGAAATAATTGAGGGCATTGAGCAGCGTCTCTTTCAACATTATTTTCTTCATATGTACTCTCACTTCTCTGTCTGCTCATTTCTAATACACCACGCTCCTCTTTGTCAGTGATTCAGTTCTCTCTCCAGGACCTTGCCTTATGATTTATTCTTCCTCTGTTGAGATTTCCTTTCATACTGATTCTCTTCCCTTAAAACAAAAAACTGAAAAACATCCATTAGATTTACCAATCCTATGATAATTGATGAACTTAGCAAGAACCATTTCAGAGGAGTATAGATTCCAGGAGAAAGAGAATGAATAATGACTGACTAAAAGATACAGAATTGAAAATGACAAGTCCAGAGTTCTTTAAAGAAAGCTTACAGTGGGGCCGGGGATTTAGCTCAGTGGCTCCACCGCCTGCCGTGTAAGCTCAAGGTCCTGAGTTCAATCCCCAGTACCACCACCCCCCCAAAAAGCTTACAATGAAAAGGGCTGGTGGGCTACATGATTGAAGGGGGTTTTGTTTGTTTTTAAAGAAACAGGGTAGATTTCAGCATGATAACATTTCTTTTAAAGAGAGGGTGTGACAATATGTGGATAAAACCTCAACAAATTCATAGGGTTAACTTTAAATGCCTTTATATACAAACTGATGTCTTTTTTTTCCCCTTTTCAGGTAGACTTATTTTTTTTAGAACACTTTAGGTTTATTGTAAAACTGAGCAGAAGGTAGAGAAAATCCTCACAGATCCCCCTCTACAACATGATGTATATTTATTTGTAAGCCCCACTGAAATGATTCCTCTCTGAAACTTTTCTTGATTGGCCTAGCCACAAGTTTTTCCTTCATCTCTAATTTCCTGTAGCAGCATCTCTCATGGTACTTGATAGATATTCTCTTGAATTATTTGGTGTAACTGTGTGATTTTTTTTTTTTTACTATTACAGAAGTTTATTTAACAAATGTTTAATATGAAAATACACACAACCAAATTTTAAATTATAGTAAAACAGGCCCTTTGGATATGGATTTCTCTGCTGAACAGCCATTATTTGTACCTGTTTCAAGGCTTCTAACATGATGATACTCTTTTGTAGTGTTACCTTCAAAGGTACCATCATACCTATGACTAGGACTGCTAGTCATAGGTAGCTGCTATGACTAGAATTTTAGTGAGTGGAAAGCAATAGGACAAATAGGGTAGTCGGGACACATGGAAAAAGATCTGCCTGGCTAAGACCCAAAGAAAGAATAAAAAATAAATCACTTTCAAGCAGTTCACTGCTCATTAGCTTTAATTTTGAAATTTTAGTCTTGGGAACTCTTGAGCTGCAGAACATTCTCTCGAGCAGGGATGTCGAATATTGGCTTCATCCTATATGCTTCCTGATACATGGTACTAAGAAGGAATATAATGGAAAAAATGCAGTTTTTCCACAACTAAGGAGAAGATTGATAAGAGAGCCCGTTCCCCATAGTGCCTCCTGTGTTGAATATGTTGTCTAGTTCCATTATTAATGCTATCATGTTTAATGATATAGAAAAATACTTGTGACTCTGGCATTTTTTACTGGTAGCCTTAAAATGTCATAATTCAAAGGAGTTCTGCTTTCATCTGTCTAATTCACTCTTTAATTGAAAGTTTTTGCAACATCACAAAGTCGGTGGACTCTACTTGGGGCCTTAAATGAGATTTATATGCACAGTTCCTTACCTTCTCTGTGGTGTACACATAGGCCCATATAAGTAAGTGTGTGTGTGTGTGTGTTTATGTTTTAAGTACTGGTGTTTGAATTCAGGAAACACTAAGCTACATCCTCGGGTCTTTTTAAATTTTTAATTTGAAATAGGATCTTGCTAAGTCACCCAAGCTGCCCTTAAATCTTACTGCCTCAGTCTCCTTAGTAGCTGGGATTATAGACCTGCATCACCATACCTGACCCTTATATTTCTTTTTATTCTGTTTTGAAGTTTTTAGAAGGCACTTTGGGGAGGCTGGGGGTGTAGCTCAGTGGAAAAAACATTTACATGGCATGCATGATGCTCTGACCTCAATCCCCAGCACCACTAGGTAGATAGATAGCATTTTCTGAGTCACTTCAGAAGTATTTTTCCTGTCCTCATGGACTCATTTGCTGTTTGTTCCTTTATATATCTGGCATGAGAGAGAGAGAGTGTGTGTGTGTGTGTGACATTTGGAAGACTATTCCTCCCTTTTTAATATCATGATGGCTAAATGATATTTCTGGTATTGCATGGCCAAATTGTTTCTAGAGTTAAATCATTCAATCTACATGTGAGGTGTCATCACAATATATGTACTATAAAATGTTTAAATTTTTTAAAAAAATTATTATACTAAGACACATTGCCAGAGTCTCCCTCAAAATACTCGTTGCTGGGCTGGGGATTTAGCTCAGTAGTTCCACCACCTGCCTCGCAAGCGCAAGGTCCTGGGTTCGATCTCTGGTACCAAAAAAAAAAAATTGGTTGCTTTGAGCACACTTACCCCAGCATTCTTGCCACTTTCTGAAGCAGTTCTGAAAGTCCTCTTGTGTGAGCATCTTTACAAAGTGTGATCAAAAATAACAGTGAATGCCGCTGCTGAGGGCCATCCAGTGGAAAAGCAGGCTAATAAAAACCGTATGATGTGTCTTCCATCTACCTTATTCTCTAGATCTGGTAACATGTAGCCTCCGGCTCTTCCCCAAAGTGAAAATGACCATGAAAGGTAAATGTTTTGAATTGATTTGGGACATTGAGGCAGCCATGATAGTGCAACCAAAGATACTCGAGAGAAGACTTCCAGAACTGCTTCAGAAAATGACAAGGTGGAATAAGTGTGTTTGAAGCAAGGGGGAGTACCGTGATGGGAATTAATGACAATGTGTCTTTCTTAATGGATTTTTTTTGAACATTTAAACATTCACTACATATTTAATCATACCTCGTAGTTCACATTCGTAGTACAATATAACTGATTTCTCAGAAATTAAGATAAAAGACTTACTGATTATATAAGAGTATTATAAACATACTGTAAGCTGCCATCAAGAAGCTTGTATCCTAGATAAGGAACCAGACTTAAACATGAAAATCAAAACATTTAGATAATGTAGACCATTTTGTCCAGGTCAGTCAAGGAAAACTTTATTGGGTGTGTGGCACATAGTTCTGAAAATGAGTAAATTTTAGATGAGAGAATATAATGAACTCTATTGATGAGTTTCACGGTACTTTTTCCTTTATTTTTTTTCTTAAGGAAAATATCCTTATTTTTGAACTGTTCTCTTTTAATTATATTTTCTATCTAATATAATTATAATAAATACTTGAAAGCATTTGACCTGTCAGTTGCCTTCAGTTTTTCTATTTCTATGTTTTTGTCACAGACAACCTGATTTTCAGCTGCTAACAGAAGGACAAAGGTATGGTTCAATCAGTATCACTTACCTTCCATATGATATTCATGTTAATAGGAACATGAGGAGTGTCCTAGGTGATATGAGCTCTTGGACTTTCTGTGCTGATGCATTGTTAAGTATCCTATTCTGGCCCACAGAAAGAAATATTTGATGTGTTCAGCTTTTTCTTTTGTGATGGTAAAACGACGTATTTGATCTGTATGATTTATTGTACAGCTGTTCCTACTGTGGAAGTCTAATTGAACCTGTTGAAATATGACCCAAACATAGCCTCTATCTCAGATACTGTGTTTCCTTCTCAGTTAGATTGTGCCAATTATATTTGTTGAAAGGTTTTTGTGGTTTTATTTTACAGGATTTCAAGACATTACTGTATCAGTTATTTAATTATTTGAAAGAATATCTAATACATTAATATAAATTCCAGGTTGTGATTTTTTTTTTTTAAACCCTCCTCATAGTATTGCTTGCTCATCCTTGGCTATCTATCAAAACATCTCCTTTAACTCTCAGAATAAATGTTCCTAATTATTAGTCACTACTTTAGACACGTAATATTGAGCCACAAGTAAGACATTTATTAATGCATCTCTTTAATTTATAGCTTCAGCCTAGTTCAGGAAAAATAAAATTGTCTTAAATTTCTAAGAGAAAGCATGAAACATGAAAGTTGAATTATTCTGATTTTTAAAATTATACTTACTTTTCTTTTTATCCGATAGTCCCCTATTTGGTTAGATTCTAACTTTAAAAAATGATACCTCATATTGAAAAAGTATATCATCTTTTCTCCATTCCCATATACAACCTTACTTTCAGCTTTTTCCCCTATCGTTTTATTTTACATTTCCCACAGCATGTTTCTTCGCCCAGAAACTTTCTCATCCCAGTGTTTTAAAGTTCTGACATGTATGTTTGCATGAGAGCTACTGCTTGTCTGTCCTGAATTTGTCTCGGGTTGAATTGTCAAAGCTACTTTGCCTTCACTCTTTCATAATTCTTTTTTTTTTTTTTTGGTACCGGGGATCAAACTCAGGTCCTTGCCGCTTGCGCAGCAGGTGGCGAAACCATTGAGCTAAATCCCCGGCCCAACTCTTTCATAATTCTTAATCTTATTCAAATCAAACCCTAAAGTTGAAAAACATAGTCAGAGGGACAATTGTTGTCTTTTATTGTTACCATTCTGTTGGAACTCTCAAAAAATTTCAAATTTAAATGTCTTTCATTGGAAAATGTTAGCTTGCCAACTTTATTTTCTGTTATGACTTTCTTTTGCTTTTCATTCTATGGCATTTTCTATGTGAAACTCAACCAGAATTGGAAAATGTTTACCCATCTCTCTTCAGCTTTCAGACTTTAACAGAGTTCCTGTAATGTGTTTTTTGAGAAGCCAGTAATGAAATTTTCAAAAGATAAACGTTTTTTAAATGTTCATATAAAGCAGCCACAAAAACAATAGACAAAAGTCAAAATAACTAAGTAGGTTAGAATTATTAAAGTTTTGTTGTTCTTAATTTGCTTTAACCATTTTAAAATAATTGGGTGAATGGGTAAAAGAAAGAAAGATGAAAGCACTATATCAAATATGTGTTAGATATAGAAAAATTATAGCTCTTTTAAAATGTATATATCAGCACCTATACGTAAGGCTGTGCCTAGGGAATAAAATGTCTACCTTAAAAGTTACAAATTATAAATAAAGTTGGGATACTTTGCTTTCCTGTTACAGTTATTGTATTTATCTTTTATTTCACAGTTGCCATTCTGGAGAAGAAGTACAGTTACACAGTAAAGTCATTAAAACATCAGATATTGATAATCCTGCTCATTTTGAAAAGCAATATGAATCTAGTTCTTCTAGCACTTGTGGTGATAGTAGCAGTGATAATGAACAAGACTTTGTTTCCTCCATTCTACCGGGAAAGAGACCAAATGCAACGGGTATGGGGCCACAGCTGCACCAGAAAAGCATAATGAAGAAGAAAGCTGGTCAAAAAACCAACTCCACAGTCAAAGACAAAGAACAGATAGTAGTAGCAGTCACTGAGCAGTTAGGCAGTTGCAAATTAGGTATTCAGGAGAAAGCTGCTGATTGTGAACTTCCTTTTCAGAAAGTCAGTACTCAAATTTCTTCAAATACTCCTTCACATGAAAGATTAAAAGCTTCAGGAAATTTTGAAAACAAATACAATATGTCAGATATAACTCTTGTAGGCATAAGTAAGAAAAGTGCTGAGCATCTTAAAAAGAAATTTGCCAAATCAAACCAAGTTTCTAGTTCAGTGCAGGTCTGTCCTGAAGTTGCAAAGACGAACTTACTTAAAGTTCTGAGGGAGACTTTGATTGAGTGGAAGACAGAAGAAACTCTGAGAGTTTTGTATGGCCAAAATTACGCTTCTGTATGTCTGAAACCTTCTTCAGCCTGTCTAGTTAATGAAGAACTTAATGAAGATGACATAAACTCTGACTCAGATGATCATTCCCTTGGCTTAAGGGGATCTCAGAATAGCCTGGATGAGTTTTTATCTTTTAGAGGCTCAGATACAGCCACTAAGCCACTACCAAGTTATGAGAACTTAAAAAAAGAAACTGAAACATTAAATCTGAGGATCAGAGAATTTTGTAGAGGACAGTATGTTTTGAATGAAGAAACTACCATATCACAAGACTCAGAAGAGGTATGTCCTGATGAGTTTTTCCAGGTTGCTAGCATGTGGAAAATTCACCGTAACAAATCTTGGGAGCTGGAACAAGCATATTAAATGTTAAATTTTCATAAAGCTTTTTTAGTAATTCTACCTTTTGATTTAGAATGCCATCTTCACTGTTAGCATTACTATTTTATAATTGTGTTGAAGTTCTTAGAAAATTTTCACAAGCATATAATATATTTTTCTCTGATTGGTAAGAGTAGACTAGAAAGATGGACTATATTTTCTTAAGACTCATTCATATAATAGGTGGATTCTCTGAAGAGGCCTTTCTCGTTATTGTTATGGATTCTTCAGATTTCTACATGGCGTATTTGTGTTTTAATTCTAGTGTGACTATTTGCAGCAGAATAGACTTGCTGGTTGAATGGTAAAATACTTGTCTGGATAATATTTGGCAACCATGCACACTTAATATATTATAGATGAAATACTAAAGGAGACTTACTGGGAAAATAATGGATATAGAGGATGGAAGGAATGCATTCAGGTAGATTTAGATTTGAATATCTGCTCTGTGATTTACTTGTTTTATGAGGTTAGTTTCTTTAGTCTATTTCATCATCTGTAAATGGGACTATTAATAGTTTGCCTTGCTTAGTTCTAGAAATTATGTAAAGCACTTATTACAGTGCATGATGCATGATTGGTACACAGTAAATAGTCATCATATGTAGAGAATGAATACATGCCACTAATATTTAGGAAAAACCTTTTAGTATTTCTCTTACCCAGTTGTGATTGGTAGGTATTATCTGGGAAACAAAGTCATTTGGCATGAGGAGTAATGGGTAATAACATTGTTTATACCACAAAACTTTGCTTCTAAAGACTTCTGAGTAAGCATGGCACTAAATTTAAAAATATACTTGAAGATCTGAAAAGCGAATAGAAGAGGAAATATAGTAAAACTTTAGAAATTTTTAGCCAGACATGGTGGCACATGTCTGTAATCCCCGCACTTGGGAGGCTGAGGTAGAAGTATCAGTGGAAGTTCAAGTTTAAAGCCAGCCTGGCCTAAAATTTGTTACTTCCTTCTGTTGCATAATGTTTTAAAATTTTTCCCTGAAATATAACAAATAGTGAGATATAGCTCATTGAATATTCACATATGAATATACCCATATAGCGAAAACCAAGAAACAGATCATTACAATTAGATGTCCACTAATGTCTGTTCTTAATCATTACCTCTTTCTAAAATTAATGACTATTATAATAACAATTAGTTTTTGCCGGTTTTTGAACACCATATATTGCTAGGTATCCATTTCATTTTATACAGTGTCATGTTTGTGAGTCATCTGTATTGTATGTATCAATAGTTCATTCTTTCATTGCTGTGTATTCCATTATATGAATATAGTAATCCCCTCATCCTTCAGGGATATGTTCTATAACCCCCAGTGAATACCTGAAACCAGGGAGAATACCAAATTCTGTAGTTTTTTCCTAAACCAAGGGTGGCATGAATGCCGCAGCACCTGTTTGTATCATTGAAAGCTCTAAAAGGTTTGCATCACTAAACACTATGATAAGTTTAATTTAGAAATTGGCACAGTAAGAGGTGGACAACAGTAACAATAGAAAAATTATAACTATACTAAAAGTTATATGTAGTCTTTCTCAAAATATTTTACCATACTCACCTTTCTTGTGATGATGAGAAATGGTATAATGCCTATGTGATATATGAAGTGAGGTGAATGATGTAGGCATTGTGATGTGTGTTGGCCCACTATTCACTTTCTGATGATGTGTCAGGAAAATCATGTACTTTGGGTGATCCTGTGTGGTGGACCAGCCGTCACCAGTCGAAAGGTTCCTGAATGGGGGAAAGGAGGACTGAGAAAATAAGACAAAGAGACAGACTCAGGAGGGCTCCCAAGACTGAGCGCGCAAGTTTATTTTCACCTTTCTTTTATACACTCTGTGAGTTAGGTCATTAATCATGACCTTTATCAAAAACACCTGCTTCCTTGTTTACTAGTTCTTTGGGAATTCCACGCCCTCACAGGCCTTCTTATTTCTCGGGGTTATAGAACGTTCATCACGTTCCAGGGCAATCTAATTCGGCAAGGACGCGGTTCCTCATAACAGTCTCCTTGCTCTATACAATGGAGAGTAAGATTAAACATGGATCCTCTATGGCTAACACTGCTCTCCACAATCCTGGATCATCAAGCCATAATAATGTCAGTCATTGGATGTCAATAATAGATAACGTCAATCATTGGGGATCTTTGATAGTTTGAAGGTATACTTTGCTGAAACTTTTTGGAAATGTGATCCTTCAGCAATGATACAGGTGATTCTAATGCTATGTTCCATCCAAGGATCATATTCTGTAATTTTGTCCTCTAATATCTGTGTGAATTGAAACACTTGAGCAAATTTCAGTAGTGACAGTATTGCTAATTGCTTCAGTTTCTTCATCTTCCACTTCCGCTGTAGATGACTCAAAAAGTTCCTCTAGTTCCTTACTTGTTTATACTTTTTAATTCCCTTCATTAAGTTTCCACTTGATCAAACATGTTGGTAAATATTTCTCCACCATACTGCTTGAGTTATTTTTCCTAACTTCTCCATCAGACCTCATGAAGCCTTTAAAATCAGTATGACTTCACTCCATAAGTTCTTCCAAGAGGCATTTACATTTTCTTGTTTCAACTGATCCATTGCAGCTTTGATGAATGTAACTGTGTCACCAATGGCAAATGATTTCTAGCACTATTTTGATGTCCATTTTAGGCTCTGCCTCTATTGCTGATCAAATACCTGGTGGGTATATGTGTCCTCATGAAACCAAATGATACCCTGATAAAGGGGCTGAAATTGCAAGGTTATATTTGGAGGTAAAAACAACTATGACATTTTCACTTTCATAGCTAACAGATTCAAGACAGCCAGGTACATTGCCTTTTATTAAATCAGACTTTAAATCCAACCCTTCTCCTCTGGGTATTTTTACGCTTCTGGGATGAAGCATCAGTAGAATCATTCCACAAACAAGACAGCTGTCACCTCCACTTTCTGATTATGCTGCTAGAACAAAGGCAGAGAAATTTCGCTTTCTCTTTGAGAGTGCATGAGTTTTTACTGCTGGTATTATATGTTCTAGTTGCCATATATCAGAGGTTATCTGTCCTTCCATGTTTTATGTGCTGTTGCCATCTTTGCACTTTTATGAATGTAGGTTCTACTGGGCATCATCTAGAACCCAGTTTCATCATAGTTAAAGACTTGTTTTGAATGGTGTCTTTTCTCAATCTACTGGACTAGAAATGTGGCAGTAGCTTCTTCATTGGCAGATGCAACCTATTCAGTCCAGACCAACTTCTGAATCGGTGTCACAGACGCTTGCAGTAAACAGCTTGGTGTTACTAGTTTCAGATATCCCTTGCTGAAGTCTTGGTATAGGCTTAATGTTTTCTGGCACAACAAGTTGCTGCCAGTTGAAACGTATTTTCTATTCATGTCCTCTACCTACAAGTTACAATGTCTTTTCCATTTTAAGTTACTAGTTATGCACTGTAGATGAAGCTTTTGGAGTTTGAGATGTGACGGCAAAACTAGCATGAGTTTCTCCACAATTTCATGATATTGTTTGTTCTTATTGTAGATCTTAGCAGTCTTAGCATACTATAGTTTTTCTTAAGTCAAGAATTTGCAGCTTCTCTTCGGCATATCTGAATTGCTACCATTATACCCTTGTACTTCAGAGCCATTACTAAGTAAAATAAGGGTTGCCTGAACACAGGCTGTGATACCAACCTCAGTTGATCTGATAACCAAGGTGGCTGCCATGTGACTAAGAGGCTAGAGTGGCATATATAAGCTGGATATGCTGGATAGAAGGATGCTTCATGTTCTCTGCTACATGGAACAAGATTTCATCATGTTACTATGAATTTTAAACTTATCAATTGTTTATTGAACTTTTCCGTGTAATATTTTTGGACCATGATTGACCACAGCTAACTGAACAAAACCTTGAAAAGTGAGTCCCCTGGTAAGGGGAGACTACAATTTATGTTAATGGGCATTTAGACTTTTCAGTTTGGTGCTATTATAAACAGTGCTATAGTGAACTTTCTTAGCCATGTCTCTCCTAATGTTCATGCAATTCTGAAGGAAATGCAGCTAGTACTATAATTACTGGATTATAGTATATGTATATATACAACTTATTAGACAGTGCTTAATAGTTTTCAGAAATGGTTGTTATATTTTATAGATGTACTTCATAGCTTCCTTGCTGTTTTTTTTTTCTTTCTTTCTTTCGGTACCGGAGATCGAACTCGGGTCCTTGAGCTTTGCAGCAGGTGGCGAAACCACTGAGGTAAATCCCCAGCCCGCCTTGGTGGTTTTTGATAGTGTTAGTTTTAGCTATTCTGATAGAATTGCTTGGTGTTTACATTATGTTTGTCCTACAATTTATGAACACTCTTTCATGCCCATTGCTTGAAATGTTTGCTTATTAACCAGATGGATAGTCAGCCTCTTTTGTGAAGTACTTCAAGTCTTTTTTCCATTTATCAGAATACCTGGGGCTTTTGTCTTAATTGATTTATAAAAATTATTTTTTGTACTAGAGATTGAATCCCAGGGTTCACAATGAGTTATATCCCCAGCCCTTATTTTTTAATTTTATTTTGAGAAGGTCTCTCTTAAGTTCCCCACACTGGACTTGAACCTGCAATCCTCCCACCTCAGCACTAGAGTGCTGGAATTACAGGTATGTGCCACTATGTCCAGTAGAAATATTTTATGTCTTTTTGTTTTGTTTTTGTGGTATTGGGATTGAACCTAAAGGTGAGCTACCTCCCCAGATCTTTTTATTTTTTAGTTTGAGATAGACTCCTACCAAGTTGCCCAGGCAGACTTGAATTTGCAGTCCTCCTACCTTAACCTCCATCAGTGCTGGGATTACAGATGTATGGCACTATGCCCAGCAATTTTCAAGCCTTGTTTTGGTTACGTGTGTTGCAAATACAATCTTTCACTGCGATTTGCTGTTTTAATCTCTTGACTCATTTTTCTAATTGTTCCCCTTAGTTACTGATTTGTGAAATTGTTGCTTATTCCAGATTGTTTTATCTTCTAGAAACTTTTTTCTTTTCACATTTAGATTTTTTTTCTTCCTGTATGGTAAGAAGTATGTGTCACATCTCATTACTTTTGCATATGTATATCCAATTTATCCAGCCCCATATATTGAAGATTTTCCTCAGTGCTCTACAGTGTGAACCTTTTCATAAATGAGATGTTTATAAATATGTGGATTAATTGATTTTCTTGTCTATCTCTGAGCTAACACCATGCTAATTATAGTAGAATAGATCTCTCCATCTACTTCTTTAAGATTGCCCTGGCCATTCTATACTTTCTCTTACAGATTTTAGAATCAGTTTATCAAAGATTGCTGGGACTTTTATTGGGATTATAGTTAGCTTTGTGTGTAGATCCATTTGGAGACAATTGTTATCTTTGCATTATAGTCTTCAACTTGTGACTATATTCCATTTGTTTAGTCTGTTGTACTATTATTCAATAATGATAGTTTTCTGTGTAAGGGTCTTGAATATGTTTCATTGCATTTATTCCTAGGTATTTGGTTTTTATATATTATTGTAAGTGCTGTCATTAAAGGTTTTTTTCTAACTTGCTTTTCTATAGAAAATCAAATTTTTCCATATTGACCTTATACAATAACCTTGGTAAACTTGTTCGAATAGAGTTCTGTAATAAACCAGTAATTCTAACAATCTGTCTGTAGGGCTGGTGGCATGCCTCTCACATGCACGAGGCCCTGGGTTAGCTCAGTGGTTTCGCTGCCTGCTGTGCAAGTGCAAGGACACAAGTTCAATCCCCGGTACCAAAAAAAAAACAAACAAAAACCGAATAGCTTTTGCTAGTCTAGGTCTCTTCCAGTTCCAAATGAAATTTTGGATTGTTTTCTCTAGTTCTATGAAGTATACTGTTGGAATTTCAGTCAGGATTGCATTAAATCTATGTAGTAGTTTTGGAAGTATGGCCATTTTCATTATATTGGTTCTTCCTGCCCAGGAACAAAAGATGTCTTTCCATTTTCTTATATCCTCTTCAATCTCTTTTTTTCAGAGTGCTGTAGTTTTCAGTGTAGAGGTCTTTTGCTTCCTTTGTTAAATTGATTCCTAGATATTTCATTTTGGGGGAAGCTATTGTAAAAGGAATTGTTTCCCTAATTTCTCTCTCACTGAGTCTGTTATTTGTGTATAGGAAGGCTATTGTTTTTTGAGTGTTGACCTTATATCCAGCTACTCTACTGAATCTATCAATTAAGTCTAGAAATCTTTTGGCCAAGTTTTTTGGGTCTTCTATGTAGAGTATCATATCATCAGCAAATAATGACAGTTTAACTTCTTCCTTTCCTATCTTTATTTCTTTCTCTTTTCTAATT